TTTTTAATTATTATTGAAATTAGATAAATGGATTTGTCAAGGAAATTATAAAATATGGAATAGAAATAATTCATTGTGATTTTAAAAGATTAGTATTTTCAACTAAAACTAATAATGCAGATGAAGCAGCAAGATGTCTTCAGCATGTATTAGCTTTGTTGAAAAAGGATGAGTTTAAATATTTAGTGATCAGAGCAAGTGAAACATATTCAGCGCTGAGATGGTTAAATGGAGATAATTACGTTGGAATTAAAGGGGCTAATGAAGATAATGAAGCAGACTATGATCTGAATTATGTTATAAGATTGCAAATGGTAGAGAAAGTAAATTATATTGAGGACATAACAAAAGAACATATTAAAGAATTTTTGAGAGATTTTATATTTTGGTGTCGTGATGATAAAATAAGTCCAGGTGAATTAATGACAAATACTGGCAACAAAGTGAATAGTTTTATTGGAATACTGAAGAAGAAAAGTGCAACATTGTATATTAGTATAGTATGTACACTTTTGGAAATGGTGGTAGGAAAAGAAAGATCCCAACAACTAAAAAGTTTATTATGTATTATGCAAGGAATGAGCGTTTATAGCGATGATGTAAAAAATCTTTCTAGTAAAGAAAGTCACGATGTTATTGGATATGCGTGTGAATGTGGACAAGTGGATAATTATCATATTAATAATTTTGAATGTTCATATTGTAATGAAGATATAACCAATAACAAAGATTTTGAATTATTTTTAATTCATTATTTGAACATACAACTTGATGAATCATCAATGACGAAAGGGGAAGAAATCATTGAAAAATTGCAAAAATTTCACAAGTATTGCACATTTGGTTTAGATAAATCCCTTTTCGTTTTAGAGGTTCAGTATAATATGTTGGCATTGGAAATGATTCAAGCAAACACAATCAACCTTGAGTTTGATAGCCATAATCCCAACTTGTGTTTTATGAACATAAGAGTTATTCTAAAAACGCCACTAATTCACATAAAAAAATCAAACAGCAAATATTGCGGATCGTGTCAGAGTACACGTTAGATATTAATATCGGCAGAATACTAGATAACACAGACCAGTCATCAAAGTTAAATAATTATTTAATTAGAGTGGCAAAATTGGATTCTACAATTATTGTTTATTGTTTTTGTTATAATACTAAATATAAAGTTATTGAAATTATTAAAAGTCATAAAGTTATTATCCAAGAAGGTTATTTTCTAAACCTCTGAATCAAAGTCTTCGAATATTATAAATTCGATTTGGAAGTCTTCTATCTATAAATCGTATATTGTCAAGGATTATGTCTTTTTTTAATTAAAGAAATTATTCTTGGGAAGGTCGACGAAATTACAGCTATGTTATCAAATTAAAATGACAAAAGATAAAGAAATACACGAAATAAATGAATAATAAAGTCGCGTATTATATTTTGTTTAAAATTGTTTGACACCGCCGTTGTACTACTAACTTGTTCATGATGATTGTGTAATATATTCAATGCCATGGTTTTAAAAGTAACGGGTAATAATAGTACTAAAATGAACCTTTTAAGGAACCAATTTTTCATTATTTCTTGACTGACATTATCTAGTGAACTATAAATCTCAGTAAAGGAAAAATATTATTCTACACGTTGATTTTTTTAAAGGAATTTTATTTCTCATATATAAAAAGTATTTAATATAAATAATGGTTGTAAGTGATAAAAAATTATCTAAAAGTTAACATTGAATAGATCTTTTTTATCTTTCTTTTCATAGATTTCTATTTGATTAATTCTTCCGCTCTATTAATTATACCAGTAGTCGTAATAATGTTTTCTGTTTTCATTTTTAGAATAATCACCAAAACTTTCTTGGTCATCAGAAGGAAACAAATTAATTTTAAAGCTTACTTCATCATATTCATTGATTTTCCTTTTTTATTTTATTTTTTCCAATGCATTATTTATATTATTTATTTTTTCAATTCCTATGTCATATACGTTGTTCATTGATTTTTGAAACATTAATAATATTTTCAACCTAATTAATCCAAAATAACGTTGTTAAATTTGATTAATTAAGAAATCTAAGTAAGACGATCA